TCAACAATATAATAACAGGATAATTTAAAAAAATTTAGGTTGAACGAAACGAGGAATTTATTGGTTTTGTAATGATGTTTATTTTTGTATTTATTTTTATTATTTTTATATTGAGTACAACATTTCTCCGAGAAATCTTACTCCAATCAAAACATGAAAAGAGAACTTTTCTCTTGCATTTTGGCTCTAATTGGTTTTTTAAATGTTTATTTATTGAAATTCTCATTAACATTCGAAATGACGCGGGAAAACCGGTTCGTCGGGTTAAACAATAGATTAAAAGATTGAATATAACGTTGTCATTGACAACAGTTTTTATTTATCATTCGTGATTATTAAGTTTTTATTAAATTAATCTTTTAATCTTTTTTAAACAACACGTTATTGTCGTGCAAACCGCACATCGTTGAAAAATCAATACTATATTGCCGAGCTCCGCTCAGTATCGTTTACCGTTGCGTATAGATGCAAATCAAATTCCTCTCCGTATCCTATCTTCCCAACCGCTCGGCCACAGCAGTGGCCCGACCCGGCGCGGCGGTGCAGTGTGTCCGTCCGTTATTCAACAGTATTAATGCGTTTATAAAATAATACGTCCGGGCGAAAAAAAACATAAATAGGCAACATAATAATATAATACAAATATAAAATTACAATAATTATAGTGCAAATACGATTTTTACCCGTGTTATAATGTGTCCCGCGTATGGAATTTTTCACAAAGGGGGAAAAAAAAAATAATGCGCTTTTTTTTTTCTTTTTTTTTTTTTCTTTTACGTAATAATCCCTCTTAAAATATCCCACGCACATTTATAATACACGAATATAATATTGTATAATATTAAACTGTACATTTTTAAATGTATTATTATTATTATTATTATTACGTACATATAGGTGGGTACTTTGAATATATGAAAGAGGTTTTCAACGTTCAATAATAACAACGTCTCTTGTATAGCGCGCACACACAGCACTGTATTATAAAATATATTATTAAATGTAAAATCTCGTATATAAATATAATCGTTTTACGGGGTACGCGCGTGTGTGCACGACGTGACGGTAAATTTGTCAGGGGATTTTGTAAGCTCGCGTAACGTCTGCAAAGAAGCTTTAAGTTCGGCGCGTTCGGGCTGTTATGGTAACAACAATATTATTATAGCCGGCGACTACATTTTTAGATACAATAATTATATTAACAAGTTTAAGGCGACCACCGCCTGAAACGCACTTGTATCCACGAGCCCGCCGAGGCGCGGTGAAGTTCGACCGAACACGTCTATAGAATGTACTGGAATCGCAACGAAATTTTATTTGTCAGCTATACCGCTGGTGGTTTTGGGCTCACCCTATTGATCTGCGAATATTTTCCCATTTACCTATGCATATCAATAGGAAGGGGAAAAAAGTGGGACTTGTGCGTATAAATCATTGTCTTATATTTGCGAAATTTAAATTTTTCAGCCCGCCCTTAATTATCTTTGGGGCTTGACAAAAACTCACCACTCCCTCCTCGTGTAAACAATGCGGTTCGATAGAATATTATTTCGTTCGCGTCGTTTATTATTAAAGACATTAAGACGCGATCGTTGTTAATAATCAGAATTTCGTTATTAGGTTCGCGTGACTGCAGATAAGTTTTCAAAAGTGAAATTTGTATTTTCGCCTCATTTCCACTATTGTTTCCAAAGTTTTTTCAAAAATATTTCATTAGTTTTTCATGTATCCAAACGTTACCTCGAAAAATTGTATTTTCATAATGTTCGTCACATTGTATGAATATTAAGAATCATTGTTCTATTGTTTTAAAGTTTGCATTTTTTTTTCCGCTGATATAAAGGCATAAGGCATTAAATTAACTAGATAATTTTAACGGACATCTAAAAAGGGACCATTTGCATTTCGTATTCTGTGCATTTTTCGTTCTTTGCTCATTTTTTGAGTGGCCTTTTTTAATCCATTTAAATACGAGTCCTATATAGGATACGATATTTCCAAATGCCTACGTGCAGTAGCGTATTCAGGATGTTCAATGAGTAGGGAGAGGTTAAGCTAAAAAAAACTAGTTAGCGAAATCCATAGTAATTAATACAATTATTTGTACTCGGTCGAAACATGCAACGACTATTATTGTATTAGTATTAAGTTTTCAATGCATATAATGAATAGATTGTATGATTGTTTTTTTTTTTTTTTTTTCATTTAACACGGCCAGTAGGAAATTTCCCTTATCTCCCCCCCCCCTCTGGGCACGTCGTCGCCTTCGTAATCTGTTTCGCCACGTATATGCACTGCAGGTCGACGAATACCACCATTGGAATGGTTCCATTCGGGTTGTCAACCCGAAACTCTAACAGAAGCATATAATACGACGAAGAACATTTTACATATTGTACATTATAATACCATATAATGCGTACTGTATAATCGGCTAAAAAAAAAATCACCGCCGCCTCTCATGAACGGAAACCAATATTGAATCGACCTCGTTTGCTATATGTTTTTTTTTTTTTTTTTATTTTTTTTTATTCGCTCCCGTTGGCTCACAACGCGAAATTACATTTTTCCATATACTCGCATTATATTATAATCTATGCGCCCGACACATTATAGCGCCGATCGATTCGAAGTGATGACGACGGGCGCGCCCCGCCGTTTCCGTATTACGCGGTATATTAATATTATCATAGTGTAATAACGTCATCGGAATTATTATTGTTTTTGAAACGACTCCAAACGACCGGGAAGACGAGAAAATTCGAAAACGGCGGCGGCGGCGGCGCATAATAATAATATTATTGACGCGTGGCTGTTTTAATCGAGCGGGTCCCGAAAAAGAGGAAAAACTATCGCCGTTTTCGTCACCGCGATTAAATACCGTACTGCCATTAGTACGGTTATCGTCAATTCCCGTCGTGTCCTGAACGAAAATTCCCCGTTGTTACGGTTGGGTGCGTACTGTAAAACGCTGGAAAAATATTTAACATTTCGGGATCGGTTTCAACACCTGCGAACCGTTCTCCGTTCGTGATTGGCCTATTTGAACAGCGCGCGCGGACATTTCCAGTCGTATTTGCTTATTTGTAGTTGGGGCGTCGAATCGTTTTCGGATCGTCGATTCCGGCGCCGGCGTACCGACACTCGCGAACCATTGTTGTCGGGTTCGATACCGACGATCGCAGAACTTATGTTTCGCGTTTTTGCGTGCGCAACACGCCGAGAGTGATTTTCGATTGGATTTCGACATGGGCAATCGAGCGAACGGCGGTAGCCGAATTCCTGGAGACAAAGCAATCCGAAATCGATAACGTTTACAACACAGCATCGCAATTTCATCGAGCTTGAATCGACCGACAACGTTGTATTATTTACGTGCCGCTATTGAAGTACGATCGCGAGAGATGGATTTGTTGTGATATTAAATGTGTAATTGTTTGAAATTATAATATAATATGATTTAACAAAACAATGTACAAATCGTTATGGTTTACATCAGTTTTGATATTATTTTATTGTCCTTTCACTTACTTCCAATGAAATTAATTAAATGGACGAATCGCACGGCTCAATATCTTCAAACACGCCTACTGAATTTCACACTAAATAACTTTCAGAAATGATGATACTCGAAGTTTCACTTTTGCCGAGCGTCCCGCGACGCAATCGGTTTTTTCTGTCTCTCGAACTATTACCACGCTGGCAGCACAATTTGTTACAGCGCTTTACCAGCAAAGTTTCGAGTGACGATATCAACGGCGACGAATTTGTATTTCGCTCGCAAAAACCGATATAAACAGTCTGCAAATTATTCATCCGATCCGGCGACATTCAAACCGATTACGGTTGAGAAATATGATATTATAATAGTATATTGTAAAATAAACCGAGAGAAAATTAAAATACAATAAGTCATGCGGGAAAACGTTAGGAAGGACTTTGAGGGGCTTCAGCATACCCCCGGAATGTATTTAAGCCGTGGAAAATTTTAGTCCTTCCACAACACTTTTTAATCAATTTGCAAGAACATGTATTCATTTAGCTGTTCATTGCACAAAAAGTAGGTTTATTTTAAAAAAATATTTCTTTTTAAATTAACTGTCAACAGTGTAATAAGAAAATATAAAGATAGCATTTCTTTAAATTTGAAAAGTGAAGCATGCATTATACATTATTTGAAGCCACGGCTAGATACAGTACAAACAGTAGGCCGAAACGTACAAAAACACGAACAACACTGTTGGCATGGCACAATTGGCAAAAATACCAATAACCTCCCGCCTCTCACACATAATATGTAACTAAATTATCGGTCTACATAAACGTCGTCAATTTTTATATCCGAGTGTATCTTTAAATGCCTAAAGAGATAATTTTTTTTTACTGTAAATCAGGAGTTTCTAGGAGGATTTTAAGTGAATGTGATTTCCGTTTTTTTTATTATTATTATTTTTTTTAATCATTGTGGAATTAGTCAAGCTTTATTTTGAAACCATTTTTAATTTTTTACCAGTATTCCGTGTACCATAAATGAGTATATTTTATTTATTCGAAAAGAGAGGTTCCTGTTGGAAAATCAAAAGTATAAAGCCTAATCGATTCGACAACGAATAAAAACAAAACGGAAATCAAATTCACTTAAAATCCGCCGAGAACATTGTTGGTCCGTGATAAAAATGAAATCACTCTGTACATAGTACCGACTCGATGAACCTCGGAGAGGAAAAAGGAATGGGGGACGGTATCTAAACCGGAAACGGTGATACGCCGACGTTTGTAGGCTTAACCCACCACGCACTTCGCGAAGTCATAATAATATTCACTTAGCAATCTATGTGCCGTATTATTATTCGCGAGCAGATGTGACGTTACACAAACCAATAGTAATCACACGGAGGATTTAAGATCGCGACGGCTGACAAAACCGCTAAAACGCTGTTTAATAATAACAATTGTACTTAGTACCGATCCGCACCAACATAAGAGTGGCTTTTCACTCTCCGCGCACCACGAGTGCCGCCCTGAATCATTAACTACCTGTATTGGTAACTAAGTCGCGGTTATCTGTTCAGACCCGGTGAAAGTACGCGAGTATATACCTACCTAAGTTTAATGCGAACACAGCAGAAAAAAAATAAAATCCGTCGGCATTGTGGTTTGCGGCGTTTCCCGTGATTTATACACAATAAAACACACGGTATTATGTTTTTACGATTTAAAAAAGGTTCCGAAACGCGAACATCGTGCGGCTAATCGTTTTCTTTTTTTTCCCACGTCGCGACGAGATTATTTTGTATAAATGGAAATCCAGCGTGTTCGAATTTACATCAAATTCTATCCCAACAGCAGTAGGCATCGGCTCTTTATTAATATTATTAATATTTTTATTTTTTTTTTTTTTTTGTCTGTGTACAAATTTTCAATACGAAATGTTCCGGTTAGATTCTGTCCATGAATATCAAAAGCGGTTCGTGATCAAATATTCGATTTAGAAGTAAGTAAAACTGTTAGGAGGGTTTTTTTCTTTTTCTTTTTATTATCGCCCTTGTCCTTTTTTGTAACAATTGGAGAAAACCCCTCGGACCCCGGAAAATTCAAATATTTCGGTCAGTTGCACATTTTTTGTTTGTTTTTTTTTTTCAATTCTAAATTTATTTAAATTTGTTTAAAATAATCGCAATGGCACGAAAATTAACTGGTGATTTTCGAAAAATATATAATAGCCGTTTGAAATTGTCGAGTTTTTTACCGTCGTATTATACACGAATTTAGCAGACGTCATCGATACTGTCCGCGGATTTGTTAAATAGATTATATTTCCACTGCACACCTCGTCATAATATTACACTAGAACAACTCACGCTATGGGTAACGACTTACACCGACAAGTAACAATAATTACATACACGATGGAACAAATACTACGCGACTAATGAAATGGAACGTAAGCGAATATAAATCGATTTGTTAGTCCAACCGCCGAACCACCTAGTTCGTCCAAACAATCGAAATACGTAGCTATTGTAATTTTAGATTCTTAGCGGAACGATGAACGCATTGGCGGTTTTACAATGATGTTTATGTTTTGTTTTGTTTTTTGTTCTGTGGACGACTTTTCTGCCGGCAATTTCGCTCACATTTTAAAATGTAGCAATTTTTCCGAAAAAAAATTTGACTGGTGTGGTACTTTTTCGGGTGGTCATTTTTTGATTTTTTTTTTTTAGGGGTTGTCTTAATAAATGTGAAGAAACCCCGGGAAAAAGCACGAAATGCATTATTTTCAAATAGTAAATTTTACGACCATTTAAAACACGTGTAACCGAACTCCGCTCAGAATCGTTTTTCAAAGATTAATCCGCGCGTACAAATAAACGTTGAATTCCCCTCTTTATCTTTACTTATCTCTATCTTCCCAAATTCTCACCTACAACAATGGACCACCCGTTGTGCAAAGTTTGTCCGTATCTTTTTTAATATTAATATGTACACTGTAATATTTCAATTGTGATGAAATTAAAACGCGATAGTACGCGTAAACGGTTGTGTATTCGAAATAAATAACTAAGTAAACAGTTATTTACCGAGAAATTATGAGACAGACAGGCAGACATCCATTCGTGTAAAAACACAATTTTCTTTATTCCGAACAGCCGAGGTCGCAACGTATGGCGAAAATAACGTGGAATTGTTCGGTTACCCGCTGAAGCACAACAATTTCCCGACAAACGCGTTTTAGGGACAGATAATCGGCCGTAAAAGAATATAAATAAAAACATTTATGGAAAAAATTACGAAACACGCTGATTTGCATAGATTGGCTATTTGAACAGAGAAAAATGAACGTATACCTACCGGCCGAGTAGTGTGTCGTACATTTCAGATTAGTTTTTTTCTATTAGCAATTTGTATCTGTAGTAGGAACGTTAAGATGGTATGTTTATATTTTTGATTTTCCTGATAGATCGCTAAAAAGTAGAGGAAACCGAAAAGGGAACCGTTTCATTACTCTGGGTGTTTTTTTTTTTTCAATATTATTTGTTTCAATAATAAACCTAACATAATTAATTAAAAAGGCGTTAAGCGTATACATTGAAAAAAAAAAATTGATAAACGTAATGACTTAATAATATTCAAAAAATATTGGTTAAAAAAAAAAATTAAAGGTTCAGTACAACAATAAAACCAGTCTACTTTTCGGGAATTTTTTAAGAAGATGAAAGCAACCGTCCATCTCTGAGACTTGCGTTCTTTTTTCCAAGAATTAGATTGAACCAATTACTCATCACTATTTTCTCTGTACCTAGAAGACGGACTTGCGTTATTAATGCACCGAATTACGTAACTTAACGGTTTACTGGAAACCATCATAAAGTCGTTTTGGACTCGCCTTGTTGTTGCGCTGAACTATTCAATTGAAAAATTTTAGCGTTATTCAGTAGGTTTTTTTTTTTTTTTTATTATTTTTATACGAGCGTCTAATGTTCAAATTTTAATGGAAATCGTAAATTTTCGGCATTTCGCGTATTTTATTTATTTTTATTTTTTTATTATTATTTACCGTCTCGTTGCCGAGTGTAAAGATAGAGACTTCGGGACGTTAAGAATAAGCGAGGCGAATAATACGGTCGAGTATAAAATTAATAATAAAATACCGTTACGGCTTCAAATAATTAATATACGAACGGACCCCCGAAGCCGTCTAAAATATTCGTACTATTATGGTAGTCGATCGTGCCCATAATGTCCTCGGTCGAGACTTTGTTTTTTATTACATATAAAACACTCGTGTATCGTAGTGTACACTTACAGTCACGCGTTTATACCGTGCCTACCATCGAGTACGCAAATCCAATTTACATTACCGGGCCCTTCGTACGAATGTAGTCAAATTGTTTAAATCGGCGGACGGTCAATTTCGTATGATTTTTTTTTTAAATCTAAAAACCGTTGACCCGATTGGACGGACAATGCCACGCATTAAGTACCTGTACGGTACCTATACACAACACTTAATCGGTTCGCGGCATTAGTCGTATAACGCATACACTATGATATAACACTAAAAGGTTTCTGTTTGTTTAGAGGGGAAAAAAAAAAAACATCGGCGTACAGTCATGTACGAGTTGACATCGGACATCACGGAGCCGGGGGGTCTGTGTGATATTACGTAATATCGACTTGTTTCAACGGTACGCATTTATTGATTTCATTACCGTCCAACGGGTTGTTCTTTTCTCGGACCGACCCGTTCCCGTAACGATCGAATCAACAAGCATACGATTTTCGCGGATTCCGACACTGCAGTTGAGTCCGACCCGTGTCGGTGGTCCGTGTAACGGAAAGCATCTCGCGTGGTATTACGCATGTCATTATTGTCCCGTAGATGCGAAGAAATAAACCGTAAAGGAGATTGTCGGCAAATCGAGGTGGCCCGCGGCCTATTTAACGTCTGGTCCGACTGGTCCGTAGTGTCAAAAAGGCCGGGAACCGCTGTTCAAAAACAATACTAGACACGTCTTAGTCGATTATTATTGCACATTATCGAGAAATTATTCATATTATGTTTGGCGATGGACCGGAACGAATTGCATAAGAACGACTTTTTTTTTTAAAAAAAAAAAACTGACTGCTGTTTTCGTCGTTATTCAATTGACTGTATTGTTTTTGCCATTTTCGTTATTTACTATAATGCGACAGTGATTCTTGATCAGGCAGATCAAAACAGACAACCGCGTGTAATGTGATTTCGTCCTTTGGGGGTACCGTGAAATCTCGGGTTTACGAAGATTACACCGAAGCCTTGAACTGTCGTCGAAGATTTCTTTATTTAAAATGAAAAATTCGAAGAGTTCACGTCGCCGGGAATCTCGTCAAGAAGAACTGTAAGGCAGTTACAGCCAAGCTTTCTACGGCGTTAGGACAAGTCAACAGTCCCAGAGAGAGGGGCAATCGGACAATTTAAACGGCATAATATCTCATACTTAAAATCACAATTCATTTTGTACAAAATCGTGTAGTTTTGTTTTGTCTTTTTAGACTCGTTTTTTTTTTCAACGTTCTTATTGGGTGGGACACCCGTATTTCTAGAGAAACAATATTTATTTTTTTTTCGTCTTTCGAATATTTCTTGATACGCATCTCAGCTAGACACTATCCGATAATAACGTATTATCGTTTCTCCTTGAAAACGACAAACTTTCAACGAATCATATAATCAAATAACACTATGTTATTTTAGTAAAGTAGGTACTCAAAACATCCGCTAAACGTCGTCGTCGCCGCGCCGTCGTATCGGGGTGGTCGATAGACCGCCACTGCCGCTGGTACAGTGGGATTCGCGCGGATACGATGGCCGAAACTTACTTTCCCTCCCCGGGCGAAGACCGATAGGGAAAGGGACCCAGACAAGGGATGGCGAGTGTATAAAGTCAAGTGGGGCATCTCTCGTGCGGGAGTTGAGACGAAGTGACGTGCAGGGTCGGTGTGCATATATATGCACATTAAATGCGTATACTAGCTCTACGGAGTGCCGGGTTACGATGCCAAAACCGGCGGCGTTCCTCGTCACCAGAACGAGCCATTAGAGGCGAGCAGATGGTTTTGAATTATGATGAGTGAAGACATCATCGCGCGTAACGCGGCGCACGGTCCGACGGACTGATGTCCATTTGTCAAAACAAAAAATAAGTAAATAAATAAATAACAAAAATATTTTTATACAAGAGGGGAAAAATATTATTATTATTATTATTATACTCTTTTAGTCCGGCCCGGCGCCTCCTCGGGTTTTTGATATCGTTGTTAGCATTATTATTATTATTATTTATTTTCGTTCACGACAACATAATCCCCTCGTTCGGTTTTTGTTTTTTTTTTCGCTGCTCTTCTTCGTTAAAACCCACTCTCCTCTTTGTTTTTTCCCTCCCTCGGCTCGCTTTTTTATCGTTTTTTTCGGCGACGTTAATTCATTTCCCTCCCCCCCCACTCTTTTCGTTTTAACTGAAAGCCCGGCAAAAGACGGACAACTTCTCGACTCTGTATTTTTGTAATAACCGACCACTCGAAACTTTTTCACACGCCCTCCACCAAAAACCATTATTATGCATAATACGACGATACCGCGAATATTATTTCATTTTCTAATCCATTACATTTTAGCCCGATTAAAGATTGTCGAGAATAATACATGCAAACAACCGTTAGAGCACAACAGTAAA